TGCATGGATGGGAGGCACAGGAGAGAAGTAATTACTAATAGGAAATCGGCACCTGGAACATATTTAGCCACATCTGGCCCAATGACGAGATCAAAGAGTCGCGCGCATACCCTGGTCAATCTATAAGAGGAACTCTCCCACTGACCGGCATTGTAAGCCCTGATGATGTCGGCAGATGCCGACGAAAGCTAGGCATTTTTATTAGGTATTTTAACATTAAATTATTTTATTGCACTCCCTGGTGCTCACGTTTACTTATTGGTTTTAATATGGATATACCCAGGGATCACATTTTTAATATAATTATTAATATATATATATAAACTAAAACACAGATCACTGAGACTAAAAATTTATTTAAAAACTTAGCTTTCATCAGCGTCTGCTGACATCATCAGAGTTCCAGCCAGGATTGAGAATCATGCTCTTATAGTCTTTGTAACGCCAAGCGTTTGGCTAACGACCATGTTATTGGTCTATTCAGTTCCCTCCCCCTTGTAGTTAATTGCTGTGTTGTTTCCATCGCACTCATTGACGGCTGTTTAAATTTAGGCACCCTGCTTCTCTCCTCACGTCCCGCCCATGTGGAGTGTGTATTCTGCCGTGCGCAGTCATCTCGTTGCTTTTCTGGTGTTTGCATATGCAATGCTGCCGTTTCAGCTGGCTGTTCCTTATTGCTGTCATTGTCCCTGTCCATGTTAGCTCCAAGTCCCCTGCTGTCACACATCAACGACGTCTGCCTCCCCTCAATCATCTGCTGTGTAAGTGAGACCATGAAGTGTCTTCGGACGAGACTGCATGAACATCAGTTGGCCATCAAACGCTATGAGCAGTGGTCCCAAGTGTGGGCTCACACTGTAGAACACAACCACACGTTTAACTTCACTGAGGCCAGGGTCATTGCTCATGATGCAACAAAGGACGGCCATCTGCTAAAAGAGGCATGGCTATCCAACAAGCATTCCATCAACCAGCATATTGAACTGTTACCAGCTTATCAGACATTACGCTGGCAGACATCTTTAAATAAGAAAACTGCAAAGATGAAACAGCCACAGATCCTCACTGATACAAACAGGTTAACAGAGGATCGTATCCCTTCCTCAATGTACTTTCTTTGACAAAAGTCAAAGAAAATTTTTTAAAAAGATTCTTTCAACATAAAAATAACAAGAAAAAAATCAAGGAAACAGTCAGCCCATTAAAGAGAGAAGATGGCAAGGAAATTACAGGCAACAAGGAAAAAGCAGAACTGCTTAACTCATATTTTGTGTCAGTCTTCACACAAAAAGAAACTATTGCCCAACATGCCAAAAAAACCACTGCAAAAGAAACAAAAATTAAAATAAGCAAGAAAATGGTAAGGGAACACCTATCCAACCTAGATGAATATAAATCACTGGGACCCGACAGATTACATCCCAGAGTTCTGACGGAGCTGGCCGATGTTATCTCAAAACCAGTGTACCACATCTTTCATAAATCCTGGAGTACCAGGGAAGTACCTGAGGATTGGAAAATGGCTGATGTGGTCCCCATCTTCAAGAAAGGAAAAAAACCAGACCCCGGAAACTACAGACCAATCAGTTTAACATCAATACCTGGGAAGATCCTAGAAAAGATAATCAAAAAACAGATCTGTGAACAATTAGAAGCAAACAAAGTCATAACTAGTAGCCAGCACAGGTTTGTTAAAAACATATCATGCCAAACCAATCTCATTTCATTCTTCGATAAAGTGACTAAACTAACAGACCAGCAAAATGCAGTGGAAGTAGTATACTTAGATTTCAGTAAGGCATTTGACAAGGTAGACCACAACCTACTCCTTGGTAAACTAAGAAAAGGTGGAATAGACAACATCACCACCAGATGTAGCTGGCTAACAAACCATACTCAATGAGTAGTTTTCAATGGCACTACATCCACATGGAGAGAAGTAAGCAGTGGGGTGCCACAGGGTTCCGTCTTAGGCCCAGTACTCTTCAATATCTTCATCAATGACTTAGATGAGGGAATAGAAGGGGAACTCATCAAATCTGCAGATGACACCAAACTGGCAGGAGTAGCCAACACACCAGAAGACAAACTCAGGATACAAAAAGATCTTGACAGACTTGAACAATGGGCCCTATCCAACAAAATGATCTGTGGGGTAAAGCACGAAGAAAGCCCCTCCAGTGGTGCACAGCAGCAGCGAAGCCTTTCACTGTCACTCCCTCCTGGCTCTGAAATGGCAGAGGGGGGTCGGGCCTACCACTCCCATCTTCCATAGCATGGCAGTCCGGCTCACGAGAGGATGAAAGGGAAGGTTGCTGAGCAAGGAATGGCCTGGCTGGAGGGGTCTTGAAAGAAGTGGGTGTATGGGGCAGCTCCACCTCCTCCCATACCTGCCTCGCCTCATTGTGCTGGCAGCCGTGCGATGTGCCACATGGCCTCCTGCCCCATTGCAGCAGTGAGGTGGGACGGACTGGGCGGGTTCCTAATTAGGCCTTATTTTTGTAGTAAGGCTTAAATTAGGCCCACCCCAAAAAATCTGGGTAGGTGGGCTGACTTCCCACATATGTGCATGAAAGAGCAAACAGATGTGGGAAGAAAATGCCCCTGCGGTTTACTTTTTCCAGCTGGGAGAGCATGATCAGGCCGATGAAATGAAGAGCCGGGAGACGAACGTATCGGAAAGGAGGTTGGTTTATTTCGGAAGCCAATGCTACTGGTAACAGCAGCAATGAATTCCGGGTCAGCTGGCAAATTGATTTATTGAATACATGAGTTTTTGTACAATTTTACAGCATTCTGTAATCTGGAGGCTTACTTTTGTGTATTTGTTATTTGATTTTGGCTAGCACATTTCATGAAGGCTATTAACGGGTGTAACGTGTCGGCATCCCTGACTTAAGCTTGTTAAACAGATGTAATTAGTTTTACCCCTTTATCTCTAGCCCGTCTATAGCCTCTCGAAAGCTGTTTCTGTAAATTAACAGGCTGCATTCATTGTGTTTGCTTTCGCAACAGCTAGAGCCACTCAAACCTCTGATTGCAACATTGTTGCTTTTTCTTAAGGCTAAAGTTCATGCCAGTCTGCCGGAGGCTATTTATCTGACCAGCTTCAAGTGAGAGGGAAAAAATTTAGATGGTGTTACTTTTTACCTTTTGCTGTTTGTGCAATTTTATTTATTTTCTATGTCTTAGAAGACCTTTGTTATAAATAGGGCTTTTTCCGGGGTTGGGTTTTCGTCCTACACAAATATACTTTGTAATCAGTAAAGTTGCTTGCTATTTTAAATTGACTGGGTCTCTGTGCATTCTAAAGAATCGTTTGTGCCTCAGTGTTCAGTTGAAAGTAATTTGAGTGTGGCAATTTTCCAAGGCAGTGAGTGTGTGAGTGAATGACCATAAGTTAAACCTGAGGGCACACATGTGGAACAAGGGTCTCTCAGTCCAAATATGGATGTAACTGAACAAAGTTCAAATACTGTATTATGAAGTTGTGGATCCAAGACCACCAAATTATGCATTAACCCCAAAGTTAATGGCCAGGAAGAGAGGGAGGGAGAGAAAGAAGGAACAACAAACAAACAAACATGTTTTTTCAGCATATAAAGTTGAAGAAATGAAAAGGACCCAGTGGCAGTCATATATGAACATTTGCATACATCGCCCCCAATTTTGTGTCAATGCTGTGTAATACCAAGTAAGATGCCAATTTAAACGAAGAATTTTAACTGTGTGGCAGCTCTCACCTACACCATATCTCCCACTTCTCCCATATAGATAGGCCATTGAGACCCCAGTGCCACAAGAAGAGAGAAAGTTTGTCAAAGAAACCTTTGTGGCCAAATAAGAGATTATGCAAAAAACAGAAAATACTCTTTTTTCCTCACAAAAGTCGTGGAAAATTCTTTATCATTCAGCCAATGTAAAAATGTTGGCTCAATAATTAACTATATAATTACTCAAGAAGGCACGTCTCTTTTGTTCTTGGGACCCAATATTGTTTAATTTAATTCCATTTGTTGGAATTGTTAACTGTATAGTGAAACATTTACAATAGTGGCCAAAATTGTGGAAACTTTTGCGAAAAGTGTATTTTTGAGGTTTGATGGCTAATATCACCACTTTCTTTTGGAATAGTACCATAAAATTATATATCAATGGAAAGATAATTTAATCAATAATGTAATGCAACAAAGTTTGTTTAACTATCTGTATTGTATTCTATGGAAAATTATAGCCAAATAACCAGAAAAAGGAAGCACAACTTGCTTAGGTTGATATCAGGTAGCTTTCCTTCATCTGATTGTAACCAATGAGCATGAGTGTTTAGAGAGCCAATCAGGTGTCATCTTGTTTTGGCAATGAGCCAATCAGGTCACAGTAGGATTCAGTTATTGATGCCATGTATTGAAGCTGAGAGGAGGATATTTGTCAGTGTGTTATGTGATTGCTATCAAGTTGGTTGGGTTTTTTTTGTGTTCTTTCATTTAGTGAGCTTGTAAAATGTAATAAAATTAAAGTAATGGTGCAAAGGACTGGTCACCCAGAAAGCAATGTAAAATAGTATTATTAAGTGAACAAGGCTACAGTTATAAAGAAATTAAAAGAAAAATTGGTGGAAACTTAACCAAAGGTGGCATTTCTACTGTACACTTTTCCCAAAAGGTTTCCACAATTTTGGCCTCTACTGTACATGAAAGCTGTATAAAATATTATTAACATCTGACCTAAATGTTGGATTGTTGCACAATTCAAATAAGTTTAAATTTGTTTGCAAAGGTTTCATAGATCCTGCCCATGCAGCTCAGGTCAAATTCCACGGGAGGAGAGAGACAAAACAAGGGAAAGGAGGGAGGTTCCCTTATATACAGGGCATGCTGATGATTCAGTAGAAAGAGTAGATGGGCTATGCCTAATTCAGTGCTTTGAAATACATACTTGTATATCACTTCAGTTTGCAGAATTCATTGTAATTGTTACAGAAAGCTGATTGCTAAAAGGAAATGGATTGGACTGGAGCAATTGTAATAGTATTACTGTTTATTCTTGCAGTTATGTTCCTTTTGAAAAAGGGCAGTTCCTGGAATAACCGCTCCCCCAATCTCCCCCCGGGACCCAGGACCATTCCCATTTTGGGAAATCTGCACATGGTGGATCTGAAGAGGCCTTACAGAACAATGATGGAGGTAAATGATTAATAAGTATTCTTACCAAAATTTGTTGAGATAACACAAAAATGTGATTAGTTGCTCAGATAAGTCTCATGTGTTGGCTGATGTTTTTCAATGTCTATGAAAATATTTTAAAAGTGAGATTTACCTGATATCTAAACAAGGGGTTGGACTAGAAAACCTCCAAGGTCCCTTCCAACAATCTTATTTATGTTATTCTGTTATATTTATGAATCCTGGAAGGATTATTACAAGAAAATCTTTTTTTGTTAATGGATGTTTAGAAGTTGAGTCATGGCAACTGGTCTTCTTTTCTTTTTTCATTTAAAACATTTGGCTGCTTATCCAAGTAACTTCAAGTTGCTTTTGGGGGGGGGGACCCCATATACTATATATCCTCCAGGGTGTTTTCATTTCTCACCTAATCTGAATAGGCTCATTAGGACCCATCTAAGAGAAAGTTTTTTGAGTAATCACCTTTAACGACTCTCTACCTACTCGCCTGGCTACCCTGGAGGACATATATGGGGTCCCCTTCCCCAACTTGCTCAGACTGAACAAACTACTTGGATAAGCAGCCAAAAGTTTCAAAACAAAAAAGAAAAGAAGTCCAGGTGCCATGATTCAACTTTCAGACAACTCTACCTGGATGACTGTGAAGCTTCACTGACATTTGTTAATAGATATAAAATTTTGTAATTGTTCATTCAGATTTGCAGAGCTATTTCAAAACCCATGGAAATATACTGTTAAGCTGAATGGTTTCATATATGTTCTTAGCGGCACTCCTATGTTTTAAGCAGAATTCTAAGTAATTAAATAATTTCTGCAGAGAGCAACATTAAATGCAAGATTTTCTTACAGCTTTTTAAGAAGAAGAGTGGGCTATTTTTCCTGATTTCCAGAGTCATTTATGAAAATATATTTTAATTTCTTTCCTTCGAAGTTTCTGTGTAATCCTTTCAACAACTGGATAGAGTCTCTTTAAACTAAAATTCAACTGTATATCCAGCACTAAAGGCTTCAAGGCAGCTGTGCAAAATGCTGGAATATAAGTATATCTCTTGCACAGGCTTCACCTTCATACAGAGTCCTACATAATTAATCCCTTTATAAAAAGGCTGCCACAAAGAAGAGGGAGTCAGGCTATTCTCCAAAGCGCCTGAGGGCAGGACAAGAAGCAATGGGTGAAAACTAACCAAAGAGAGAAGCAACCTAGAACTAAGGAGAAACTTCCTGACAGTTAGAACAATTAACCAGTAGAACAACCTGCCTCCAGAAGCGGTGAATGCGCCAACACTGGAAGTTTTTAAGAAGAAACTGGACAGCCATTTGTCCGAAATGGTATAGGGTTTCCTGCCTGAGCAGGAGGTTGAACTAGATGACCTCCGAGGTCTCTTCCAACTTTATAATTATTATTATTATTAATTTGACATGGTCATTTGGTGTGCAAAAACCCTCTTATTACATAAGGGTCATTTTGATTTTACACACACACACACACACACACACACACATACATACATACACACAAACACAATGTAGTAAATGAAATGAAAATTAAAAATCATAAAAATACAACATCATAGCATACCATAAAGCAAAAACAGAAAATAACATGATCTCATCGTTGGAACTATGAGTCATGATAACTTAAACAAAATTCTGCACATGATCACTCATTAATTATTGATCAAAATGGTCTCTTGTTTTTCATCTGTTGAATTTCAGTTGTCCAAAAAATATGGTCCCATTTTCCGCATCAGACTGGGATTCCAGGAGATGGTGGTGCTGACTGGCTATGAGACGGTCAAAGAGGCTCTAGTGAACCAGGCAGATGCATTTGCAGAGAGAGCCTCTGTCCCCTTTTTAGAGCATTTTTCAAAGGGCTTTGGTGAGTTGTTTCATTCTGGATCATAGGTGACAATCATTTCAGATCTGTAATCGGTATTCTGTAGAACTTTTCACCTGAAATTTTCCTGGGCAATAACCTCAGAGAACCAGGATAGCTTCTGCCAATTAAAACAAGATAGAGAAAAATATTTATTTTGCTATTTTGGCCTGATCTGTTAATTGAGAGAACTAGAGAATAAAAAGTAATGGCAAAATTCTAATAAAAACATTTTGCCCCCTACACACACACACACACACACACCAGGTCTGATTTCACTTCTTTGAAAATTTGGGTGTGAAGGGTCCTAATGTTATGCACGTATTTCTCTGTATTTTTCTCCTTATGTACATAGTTATCCATTCCTTTCCTTTGTGCAATGTTTCTGCCAATTTCTCTTCCCTTATACACCTTTCCATCTTAACCTTGATGGAAACTGGTAATTTGCAGAGCCAGTTCTTAGTGTTCAGTTAGTTATGGAAATGGCTGATGTGCATAATGGAGCACGGGCTGTTTTTGCCAAAAGCCCCTTAGATCATCTCTGGCCACCTCTCCTGGCAAGAGGCACCTGGATATTTTACTTCATTTATTTGTTTTTTTATCTTTTTGAACTGCTTATCTCCCATGGGAAGGACTCTAGGCAGCGTACAATAAAATTGTTAAAATAGAAGAACAACATATGGAAATTAAAAATTTAGGAAATTTAGAATTTAAAGGGAGGCAAGGATGACTAAAATCTGTTAAAAATTAGTTTTAAAAAACCAAAGGGAGAACTCTTGGGGGGTCAACCAATTTTACACGTTTGACTGCAACACTTCCTCATCATAAGCATCATCTGCATTTCTTTTCTTAACTATCACTTTCCATTATTTTTTAAATTAAATTTTCATTACATTTCAAAGTCAAACATTAAAATACAAAATAACACAAAAGGGAAAAGGGAATAACAATGCAAATTAAATGTAACAGAAAAATGCAACAAACAAATGTATAACAAAGATGAACTCCAGCTTTCTTTTGGTCAGAGAAAATAATCATAGAACAATCTCTCTCTAAATTTAAACAAATAATACCAATAACTTTAAATCTCAATAGTCCACACTCTAAAATGCCAATAGTCTTCTCTTAACTTTAATCTAATTGATATTAAATCATCAAATATATACATAAAGTCCAATCTAATCCTAAAATCCCAAAGTTAAAAGTTGATTTTTCTTTTTATCTTGTAAGAAATCAAGCAGCAGACTCCAAGTTGCAAATAATTTAGTCAAATTACTGTCTCTAAGAAAAGCAGTCAATTTCTTCATTTTGGCTAGACCCATTAGTTTCAAAATCCATTCTTCCATTGTAAGCATATTTTCCTCTTTCCATTTTTGAGCATATAACAACCTTGCCACCTATAGTCATGTGTACAAATGATGTCTTCTTTCCAACTGTTTATCTGCTATCCCTAAAACAAAAACTTCAGTTTCAATTATACATCCATTTCCAAAATTTTCTGAACCCACCTGATTCCAATTGTTTATGGAGATTCTCAATCATCCACATCATGGTTGTCCCAAAACTGTTTTTTTTTTCCAAAAGGCAATTAGGCTTTCATGGTGTTTTCTTAGAAAATGTTTCCTTTCTCATCCAAGAAGCTTCGGGGCATCTGATTCCAAAATTTTTCGGCTTTCCCACATATCCACCAAGAATTATAAAAGGTACTTTCAGATTAATTACATTCCAATATTTGTTTGATACTCTTTTGTACATCTTTGATAACTTGTCAGGAGTTAAATACCATCAATACATCCTTCCATAAAAATGGTCTTTCAAATGATAATTCAATGTAAATTACAAATCTTGTATACACATAACTCCCTATTGATCAAGCATAATATTATAACCAAAATTTTAGTCCATTTTACCATGCCATCTTTCACATATTAATCTTCAAGATTAAATTTCAATAATAAAATCAAAGAAAGTGAAAATTTTGGTGAACCTATTTTGGAGAATTTTGGTGAACCTATTTTGGAGAATAGGTCAACCTATTTTCTGTTAGGGTTTTACAGCATTCCAGCACAAAAATAAGTCCAAAAAATAAGTACACATTCAAAATGAGCAGGAAGCATAGTTTAGAAAAACTTTATCTATAAAATATATATAAACAAGATACATACAGTTTCATTCAGCTCTGGGGAACATCAACAACTCTGAATTTGGCGATCAGAAAAAAAAAAACAGAGAAGACTAAGACATGCCCAGACCTAGGCTGGATCACATGCCTTACACAGCCAATACTATGTCTTAATCAAAAACAATTGTCATTGGCTGGTTTGTTGCTATGACTATTCCAGTTCATAAAATTTCTTACATAGTGACATTCCTCCCTTTATGACTGGAATAGACATAAAACCAAATAATTTAATACTCTTCCCATGGTGTACTCCACCCAATGGCTTGGTCATTACATCTGCCAGATTGTCATCTGAAGAAAAATGAAGCAAGCAAATTAGTTTACTTTTGATGGCTTCTCTGACATTACAATACTTAATGTCCGCATGCTTGCTTCTACTTTTCACTCTGTTACCTGTTGCCATTTTAATGCAAGCAGCATTATCTTCAAATACTGTTACAGCTTCTTTAACTTTTATACTTAAATCATTTAACAGCTGTACATACCAGGTCATCTCTGAACAAAGTTCAGACAGAGCAATAAATTCTGCCTCTGCAGTAGAAATAGCTACAGTTGTTTGTTTTCTGGACTTCCATCCAATCAAAGTCCCTCCAAATAATATCACAAACCCAGAATTGGATTTTCTGGTTTGCACATCATTGGCATAATCACTGTCAACATAACATTTTAACTTTAACTCTTTAGAGACCTGTATTTGAAGACCCAAATTCACAGCTCCCTTCAAATACCTGAGAATTCTCTTCACACCCATCCAATGCAACTGCGTTGGTGTGGCAGTAAAGTGACTTAAGATGCTTACTGCACAAGCTATGTCTGGTCTGGACCACTTGACAAATATAACAGGCTTCCTATTGCTGACTGATATATCTCCTGATCACAGGCTTCGCTTTTGTCCTCGTCCAAAGTGTTACGAAAATCTATACTCATAGGTGTTGGAGCAAAATTACAATCCTTCATGTTGTATCTCTCCAACAGCTGTTCAATTTTTCCTTCTTTGACTGAGAACGTAGCCAGCTTTCTCAGTTTTTTGTATCTCTACACCAAGATAGTTTTGTATTTCGCCCAGACTTTTCAGCTAAAACTTTTTCTCCAATTGATTAGCAAATTCCTTCACCTGTGCTAGATCCTTTGCAATGAAGCAAAGATTATCCACAAATGCTAATAATTGGCAATCCCCACCATGGAACTTTGCAGTATATATGCAACCATCAGCCTTACAGCTCTTGAACCCAAGACCCTTCAATGCCACATCTAAACAGATGTTCCAGTTTCTGGCTGACTGCTTCAGCCCATAAATGGCCTTGTTCAGTTTATACACAGTGCCAGGCTTTTTACTTTCATACCCTGGTGCTTGAACCATGTAAATTTCTTCCTCCCATTCTGCTTTGAAGAATGCTGTGGTTATATCAAAGTGCCAAATTTTATGCCCACGTGACGTTACCAACCTTATAGTTTCACTTTTTACCGTTGGTGCAAATACTTCATCATAGTGCATGTTTTTCTTCTGCGAAAACTCCTGTGCCACTAATCTTGCCTTATATTGGACTTCATTGTTGTGTAACACTTTCTTTTTGTATACCCATTTACATTCTACAGCTTTGTAACCTTGTGGCAAAATCATAGAGGTGAACAGTTTATGTTCATCCATGGATTTCATTTCTTTGTCCATGGCCTCTTTCCACTTCAGTTTCTCCACTTTGGGTAGTGCCAATACTTGATAGTTTCTTGGCTCATACCACACATTACACACCTTTACTTTCCCAGCAGAATACCTGTCAGGTGGAATCCCCTTGTTCCATTGCTCTGACCTGCATGGCATTCACTGCTCTTGACTGTCAACCCTTTCCTGCTTCACATCAGAGTCACCATCTTCTTCTGACTCCTTTTCTTGTCCTTTTTCAGCTTCTCCTCCCTGAACGCTAACACCGTCACTAAGTGAGTTACCATCACTAAGTGGATCATCCCCAGAATTGGCATCAATTCTGCCCCAATTCTGCTCTGCAAAGCTAGCAGATCTGGAAATTACTATACTTCTGCTCCCATCACTAAAGCGATAGCTCTTTGAGCCAGGCTCATAGCCCATAAATCTGAGCTTTCTAGCCTTTGGTTGCCCTTTTCTCCTTGATTGCTTTTGGAATATGCACCCATACATTGCTTCCAAACACCCTTAAATGTGCTAGAGATGGCTTTCTCCCATATAGCATAGCATATTGAGTATCATTTATAGAGGAACTCCACAGCCTATTGACTAAATAATTAGCAGTCAACATGGCTTTGTCCCAATATGACCTGCTCAGACCAGAATCCTCCAGCAGTGAGTCTTTCATGGTCTGCAAGACTCCATTCCATCTTTCAGCACGCCATTCTCAGCTGCTGTGTA